AGTTACATCTCAGAAACCCCCTGGGAGTCAGTACTGACTCAATGGCAGTGAGTTGAGTTGGTAGTGCCGTGGTTAAGTACTCAGCTGCTAACTGAAGAGGTTTGGACCCACTAGTCCTTCCAGGGGAGAAAGACATAGCAGCAAGGCGTGGCTGCCTGCCTCCAGAAAGATTCACCGCTTTGGAAACCCCCAATCTGTCCAATAGGACCACTATGCCTAGAATGAGTTTAAGCGGCATGTGATGGGGTTGGTTTATACAGACATCGAGATGGCAGAACTCTATTTAACAAACTCAATCGAAAGCCTTCTATCAAAAGACTGCCACATGAATTTACACCTCGAATTATGCTAAAACAGAATATTTACTGCACACATGCAACATGGTGTGCTTAGTCCCTTTAATCAATGTTTGCCTTAACTGACAAATTTAAACCCCAATGATGTTGAAGAAGAAGGATTCTACTGTTCTCCAAAGACTCTGAGTGACCGGGAACTCTTGGCTCAGGTACCTCCCCCGCGCTGTGCCTGGAGGGTCCTTTGGTGCATCTTAGGTTGCCAGTAAATAAGCCTTGAATCGACATCCAGCAAACATGGGGGAAAAGGCACTTTTAATTAAATTCAAAGCAAAAAAAAAGTTTTTTAATATCAAATTACATGTAAATCATGACTACATTTCCTACAAGGGAAATGGGCCAATGCTCAAAGGGCCAATTCATGCTGTCAAGGGTCGAATGAGTGGTGGGTAATTTTGCATGTTTTAACATCTTTACCAAATGCACATTCTTTTTCAAATCCAAAAAGATGCTAACTAAGAAAAGGAGATGGCTTGGCGCGGGCTGGGGGTGGTGGGGGAGGGCGGGTACTAGACTTTATTTCCGTGTCCTGAGCTATCCAATGGTCAAGCCTCCTTCAACACGCTCTGCTTCATTCCACTCACCGTGTTACCAAATCCAACCATGTTCCTCCTCAGACAGGACCTGGACTGGCACTTCCTTGGTGCTTCCAAACCACCAGGGTGCTTCTTTAACACGTGACGTTATCCACCTCTTCGCTTACTATTTGGTTAAGAAAAAATGCTCAAAACTACAATTTATAGTCCCAAGATATTCTCAAGCACCATTTAATTAAATCATTCAATCAGAAAACAAATTAAAATGAAATATCACTGCAACCTCCCAAAGGAAAATCCACTTTCCAGTTATGACAAGAACAGTCCTCTAGGGAAAAGCTCCAAAGCCTCTCCCAATTGTGAGTCCTACTGAATCTCCTGCAGAACATTCTGTGACATTTGCAACTTCCGGGACAACTCTTCTTCCAAGGAGAAGGGGGGCCTGAGTGAGAGGAGACTCACAAGCTGGGCATATGCTTTTGAGAAGGGGAATGCTTTCATGAATGACTAACAGGTGCACTGGGCATCGGCGCCGTGAACACATTCATTCATCCTCTTGTCCATCCAACACCTACCCCAGGTAGCATGTGCCAAGAACTTTCCTGGGCGTTCAAAAAACATCTGTTATGCAAATTTAATGCCTGCCCAGAGCTCCCTGAGTTTACAAGGACAAAGTATCCAAGTCAGAAAGCTACTAACTCTATCACCCCTGGGTGCCTTGGTCATTCCACTAGGACCGTCATCACCTGTTGCAGGGAGACCCTCTCTTCCCTATGCTCTCCAGGCTTCTTAGGAGACTGTAGTCTCTAAAACTAGATTACTCACTGCCATCCAAGTCAATTCTGACTCAAAGCCACCCTATATAGAGTTGACTGGAGCAGATAGCCTCAACCTTCTCCCAAGAAGCAGCTGGTTGGTTTGAACTGCCAACCTTGTCATGATCAATCCAATGTTTATCCAACAACATCATAACAAATAAAACTAGATTATTTGGGTTTAAATCCCTGAGTACTGCTTGACAGCTGTGTGAGCGAAAGCAAATCCTATGGCTTCTCCCTGCCTTCCTTTCCACATCTGCTAAATGGAAATGAACTTGCCTACTTCACAATGCTCCACACACTGCCACTGAGTCAATTCTGACCCTTAGTGACCCGAGAGGACAGAAGAGCCTGCTCCTGTGGGTTTCCAAGACAATGAATATGTATAGGAGTAAAAGTCTCATCTTTCTCTCTGAGCAGCAGGTGGTTTCAGGTGGCAGATCACACAGCCAGCAGCCCAAGGCCACCAGGGCTTCTTAGGATGGTGCATATTAAAATAAGTCACTAAATGTAAAGCACTTGCAGTAGTGCCTGGCACATAAAAGATGCTATGTAATCTTTAGCTCTTGTTATTATTCTCTTATTCCCCTCTGGGAGAAAGGGTTTTCAAGTCCCATAAAGAGGGACAGTCTCAGAAACTCAGGGAGCAGTTCTACCCCGTGCTGAAGGGTTGCTGTGTGTCAGCATCCACTCCATGGCGATGATGGTTTGGGTTTTATTCCCTTTTGCTCAGCGGAATAACTGGGTTATTCAAAAGGCTCTACTAACTAAAGGGCTTTGGCAGTCAGAATACATATCAGAGCAGGTGCTGTTGAGTCAAGTGATACAAATAGTTAGCGTGTTTCACTGCTCATGGAAAGGCACCTGGGGCACGGGGAGGGGGCATACGATGAACCTCTGAAAACTCAGCCATTGAAAACTCCATGGAAGAAATCCTGGTTCTGCTTGATAGGCACGGGTCACCAGGAGTC